ACCAACAACAACAACAACAACAACAACAACAACAACAACACCACCACCATAACAACAACAACAAGAATAACAACAACTACCAACACTTGCGAGGTGAAATCTACCACAAACACTGAATATGTCAGTCACAACGGCCAGTGCTGAAACACTGGCAAACAAATTGCCAATCTTGGTGAATAGGCGAAAACAAATGAAGAAAACTTGTTAACTTTCAAGGTATCACATCCAAAGTTGGGACGAATGCCTTTGAAGAAATTATGCGTTGTGCTCATAGTATTAGATAGTATAGTATAGTATAGTATTGGAAAGGCCTTCCAAGAGGATCGAAACGTCGTCAACCGAAAATTGTTGTTTTTGGTTTTCTCTCGTTGTGGCTAATACAAACATTCCTATACGGATCTAATACTTGTTAACTATTAAAAAGGACATTGGAAAACGTATACTTGTTGATTATCCTCTCCACGAAACATCGCCCTAATTAATGTTATTGTTTGACTGGAACGGAGAGGTGACAAAATTTGTCATTAAGCTGTTTTAGCCACTGACCTGGGTGCGGCTAAAAGTTTTATATCAGACAAACTCGTTCGTTTTGAGCAACGTATTGGGTTCATGTACCTCCGAGATCAGGCGATTATGATGAGAGAACTTTGTGATCAATCATGATATCGAGCAGCAAGGGAAAGTGGATTAGAGTTAAGAGGGACTGGGAGCTCGCAAACGGGACTCGCCTGTAGCCGCAGTAAGCTAAAAGAAGGCCAAGTCTACATTCTGCAAGCCAGGAAGTTCAACCGACATAAAGTGTGTGTGTGTATTCATGAACCGTAATCAAATTGACATTGATTTGGTACAAATGAAAAGGTAAAAACAACGCGCGAAAATATATTTAACGCTACACAAATGCGAATTACTTAGTGTGTGTGTACTTGATTCGGAGGCAATGATCATAAATTAATAAATCAGAGACAAACCTGTTTCAGTTTACGGAAACTGGCGTTCAAATGTTCCTCACACACCGCATTTCTATCGCACAAATCGGCGCATTCATCGGTCAGTGGAGTGATCGCATGGCACTGATGTCTGCCGTCACCGAAATAGCCCGGTTTGCAAATACATTCGGCTCGTTTTTTGGGAAAACAGAATGCATTTTCCGCACAGCCACACAGAGCTATTAAAACAAAGGGAAAATGCCCATGATTCCCACATTTTGGGGTAATGGAGAATAAGTGACTGCATAATCGGAATACAAATTGACATGAACAATACATTCTGCATGAGTGTGAAATTTGCAATTGTTGTTAACAGAACAGTATCTCTGTCTCCCTTGAAAGCTGTCGAGGTTACATTTAACTGATATTGGAGATAGCATCCGACAACACCGTGTGAGCTGGTGGACGCACACATGAATTCTATAAGAAAGGAACGAAATTAAAACTGTGAGTGCATCGACTGATATGCATCTTTGACGAGCTTCCTTGGGAACGAAAATGAAGTCTGATGTTCCCGGAGTGTATGGTTTACAGGAGGAGGGCTGAGCGTGAAGATGAAGCTTGAATGCTGTTCAATCATTGCTAGTGATACCGCGATTTGGTTTGCGGTAATATTATTATTGGGTCACGTGATCTTTTTGGGAAGGATAGCATTGAACTCAGAATCAGATTAGCACCATGAGAAAAGTTTGTCTAAATTGTAGAAAAGCTCTGGGTGCACTTTACATGTGCTATGTTTCCTCTATCACGAATCAAACATTTAAGCTTTCAATCAATCTGAGGTTTTGACTTTTTGTCTCTCCGGTTGGGCCATTGGTTCGTTCACGTCATCTGTCCGCGAAAATGTGCTTCTTAAATCAGAATAGAGGATAACACGTTGCGTGTACGCATGTGGCAGAGATAGGGCTAGTTTATAATGGAAGCAGTTTGGAAAGTGTGTGGCGCGGTAGTCTTATTCTTCATATCGTCATCGGATCTTCACTACGCGAAACAGCAGATCACAATTAGAACGGCAGAGCACAAAAGCAACAGATGATTCGAATAGTCGGTTGCAGTCATTTAATGAGGTGTAAGTGCGAGCCAAAATCCATCCAGGTTCAGTTGGTGTATACACTAGCCCAATCAAACGTTAGGTATATACGAATGTACATATCATAACTGATTGGAAAAAAATTGTGAGAGCACAAAACCGGTTTCTCTGTCAATACAGCTCATCTGGTATGTGTTTGCGGTAATCCTTTGTCAAATCCTTCTAATACGTACACTCCCGCTGTGCAATGGCTACAGAAACTTCATTTGCATCCCCGGGGAGTTTATTTGAGACCAATATTATAAAATCACTGAAAATCTGCTATGGTATCGAGTTAGCTGAGTAAGGTTACATCGAAACCACAGCAACTAAAAAAAANAAAATTGTTACAATGATTCTTCGAGGTTGCCTTGTCTCAAATTTATTCCCTAGAAGACAAATTACCTCTGTGTTGTGCACTTTTTTTTTGAAAGAATAAATAACTGTTGGATCCATTTTCTAGTAGAAAATTGCCTACTTATAATGTGGAAGTAGTTACTGTAAATGTAGAAAAATTATCTTATTCGAAGTCCTGCCAGGACATCCGCCGTGACTGGCTGAAACAGCTTTCTCCATAGCATACAATTTGAATAACTGAGTTCTTGCACGATGTGCGTTCATGAATTCTCCTAAAAGGACGTGAACTCTTCCTGGTCATATGACCAGACCAAATGTCTCGACTGGACAGGTCTTTGGAGTTCGATGGGAGAAAGCAGAACACGTGTCAAGCGCGAGCACCAGGTAACCTCTTATTCAGTCAATGATCAACTTTCGCTTATGCAAAAGCGAGACAAACCGAGCACTGACAATTTAGGTGCAATTCAATTTTTGCCGTGCTGCCAATATGTTGACGAAGCATGTGGCCAGGCATATGAAACTTAGAGACCGGGAATCGAAGACCAAAACGCACATTGGCATGACACACACGGAGTACGGATTTTCCGCTTGGTTGGATCCCGTGCTCATCCGTTTGCTGACCATGAACGCTTCCTTTCTAGCCTACCAGCCTCAGTCTGCCCCCGTTTGGTTATTGCGGGGAGCGAAATACTGATAAACAGTGATGATTAACCACGATTACCCTATCAACGGTCACTGTTCCTGCATCATCGGTATTGAGCCTCGTTGGATTTTGGGAATCGGAGATATTTATGCGGTTTCAACCAGACGGGACTGATAGGGTGGAATAGTAACACTGAGGTGAGTTTTCAGGCATTGGAGGGTGAGTCGGTCATCAGTTGTTTATCACACGGAATTCCGGATGAGTGGAACTCACTGGTTGGAGCAAGCACATATTACAGCCGTGTTCCTCGGCTCGCGCCTTAGCTGTATCCGGTAGTACTCGAGTGCAGCTATTTGATGGGGCTTTAAATTAAGTGGATTGTTATTCAAACTCTAAACAAGATTGTGAATTGGCTAGATAAACTAATTTTGTAGCACTTTCTTGTATTATTACCAAAGTCGTATTACGAACTATGAAACATTTGAGAATACGATAGCCTCTTAAGCAACGATAACAAGTATTCGCGAAATTTCTTCTCTTTTCTTTGACTTCCGTTTCTACTGATCACATAATTACACAAGAATTACTTTTGGAAATCGGAATTGGCCAATCAGGTAGCTGCAGTCTGCTAAATAAAAAAAGAGAACGTGGTGTGGCTGGTGTGAGAATATTGATCTGATTCGTTTGAAAGCCTTCGTTTTTCCAACCGGTATTTGTTGAACACAATCATTTCTACGCGCTTTTTATGTGCCAAGATTTATTTTGCGCTATAGAACCTACCGGATCACCTCGGATTTGTACCTATTGATCCAGTTAAAACTTTGTATTACTCGCAGGAGTGGTCTCCCATTTGTGTGTGTGTGGAGGGGGGGGGTTCAATCAAGTGATAATTTGCATTGCCACGTGATTCACCGTGATGGCCAATAGCATTCGCGGATCCTGGAAGAGGATACCAATTCCAGTCACCCCTACACGATCGGCCGAAGTGAACCTAGCAAGCCTTCAGCGGAAAAGCTTGCTGTGATTAGCAAGTGCTATTCACTAAACTACGATGACGATGCATTGCGGTCCAATACAGGCGACCGAAAAAACTTGGGTGATCGGACAAATTGCACTCTGCGTGTGTAATATATACACTGGTATCCACGAATCTGAAATTACTGGCGGACAATGAGATGTTTCTGGACAACCTCATACTGCAATACCAAAATGCTACCATTAGAAAGGTCATGAAAAGCCTTTTGTATTGCGTTGTTTGACATTTTCCGTGCGATGTATGATTTCCTTTGAAACGACCTATTTCGAAGTCAACGACTCTCACACTGTTCGATGAATCGTTCGTCCCGACAAACGCGAACCAGTCAGTGGTGGAAATCACTGGTTTATCTTATGCGAATATCAAGCACACTTTAGAGACGATCGAACTATAGATGCATCGGAAACACATGAAAACTTGGACAACAACAACGTTTACAGACCGCTTGAAACTGACGCCACAACTCCTGGTTGCGCTGAGGTCGTGGAGGTCGAGCAAGTGGATGGACTGCTACTGGCAGAACTAAAAACCGTAATCAGTGCAACCTCACGAGGTAGATCACGTTATAAAGCAAGCCAAATTGACGAGGGAGGAAAGCTGTGGTAATCGGGCATTGAGATTGGATGACAGTAAGCCCAAATCATGATACAACTTCTAGACAGTTTGTTAGAACATGGAGGTCCCAAATGGTTATTATTTCTCGATCACAATAGCATCGTGCTGTGGCAAAAGTTGAGTTCTCTAAAGCAAGACTAAATAGAAAATCATATGAAAGTTTAGAAATGTTATATTAAGCGAAATTACAGTTATCAGTTTGTGTCAAAGTTCTACATGCGCAAATAATGTTAATCGTCCCATTGTTGAAGTCCAATTATTTTCAAAGGAGAAATTCTTAGTGTATGCAGCAAATGAAGTGTGAACTGAAAAGCTAGAAAGCGCCGTACAGCTGTTTCGACCTGGTTGAGTCTCATCAGCAGTGGAAATCCAGCAACCCAAATGGGGATCGAACCCGGGACCTCATAGGCAGAACGCAGGTATGCTACCCACTCGGTCACCGGGCAACATTTTCCATTTATACGATGAGCACAACTCATCTTTGCGAGCTTGCTGCGAGCATAGCGCCTCGTTCATCTCAATACTAGTCTCTGGGGTCATGACTCGGTAGGAAACCTTCACAACCTGATTACTTGAAATTGAATCAAATCCTCGATTACTCTCGTGTGTCAAGTTACTTTGAAAAACTGAAAATTCTCTGTTAAACAATATACCCTTAAACTGTGGGTTCGCTCTGTTAATGGGATGTGGTCAAATTGGATCACATTGGAGGATCGTAGTGGTAAAATTTCGGGTTCGTCTAGTCTCACATAAAAGGCCCGTTAAACAGATGGCTGTGATGCTTTGACAACCACTAATCTCACCCGAAAGTTGTCACATGAACCAGAATACAAAATGCACGGTAACCGAACCGTGAATCGGAACGCGCACATAACCGAGCATAACGCACGCAGAGTGGAATTCATGGAGATCAGGAAACCAAGCCACAGATTCATAATAGCAGAAAAGCACATGGATTCAAAGTAAGTAACTGGCTGAACGGAGATGCTGTAAGCAGTGTACTGCAGACTGTAGACCTGATGAGAGGTGGTCGGTTACATTTCACAAGGATCATGTTAGATCATCATCTGATTTGCCCATGTGACTCAGATTCGCTCATGAAATCCAGATCCTACTTCTATCCAGATCATCTTCCATGCAAAACCTGGACCATTGGTGGTGATGGTGGCGGTTATGGTGGGATCCGAACGGTTAGCAAATGAATACAACCAACGTGTGCATCACATGACCGATCTGATTGGACGATAACTGGACCAATCAGTTACAACGGTCCAATCAGGATCAAAATGTCGATGGGTGACCAATATGTTCACCCCTAGTTGGTTCATTGATTCATATGATGAGCTTGTCTTGGCACTGATCAACATTCGCATCGGCTACCGTGCTCGTTTCTCGATCTACGGTTAGGATTGAGGAATACGTACTTGTATGATCAATAAAATAAGGGTACTACAGTTACAGTGTTGATAATCACTGACAACAGAATCCATAGATCATAAAGTGCTTAGGAAAACAAATTAAAGAGGACCAAGCAAAATTATAGAGCTTAGAGCACACAATAGTTCTACTTGACGTAACAAACCACCATACCTGCCATTTCGTTCACATCTTTCTCGGTCAGGTTGACCAAATTTGAAAATGACGACTCAACGACCCATGTGGAGTAATCAATACCTTTACTCGGATGATAGTAGCACAGGAGTTGCATGCCTTCCATGGTTGGAGCCAGTTCTCGATAAAGCACACTTCCACCGTCATGCACTTTGATAAACTGATCCGTGTTGGGTGGCGCGGTCAGATAGCTAGTCACACGTTCCCGATCCAACAGAGTACCCGGAATGTGTGAGCACAGACCGGAACTACTGCCCACATAGTAACCGTCCGGGGATGGAGGGAGTCGTAGCAACAGTTGTTTGTCCTCTCGGCAACAATGCATGAAATATACAACCTGATTGAGGGCCTCCTCGTGCCAGTGTCGATTCTCTGTCGGTTTGCCGAATTCGTCTACCACATAGACCGATTTTAAAACAAATCGGGGTATCTTCATCGGAGTTTCTGATTTAGCTCCTGGGCAGGGGAGAAAAAGTTGAAGCAGAATTCCTAAGTGCCTTGTATTGCCATGGAAGATGTTTTCTCAAAAATGACAATGGAATTTTGTTACTCAAACATCTTAGTATAAGATTTCTGTGAAACTACCAATCTGTATTTCAAAAAGAATAACGCTTCTGGTTTTTACAGCAACTCGTCAAAATTTCATCACTTCTCCTAACAACAGGTTTTGAACTTTTCTCTCTGATTTCACTGAAATTCATCCTGTGCTTTGCCTTCTACGAACTCAGAGGTATTTTCTCGGAATAGAAAGACTGTGTCTGACGAAACAACAGTCGCTACTTGGGGTAACTGATCTTTGCGTCGTACAGGCTGACAGCCAAAGATCATGCATTTTCTGATTGTCCCCTTTTCTGGATTCAAATTTCACCCAAACACATTTTTGTAAGCTTTTGATAATCACGGCAACGGACTAATCACAAATATTTTGAATATCAGAGCAAGTATTGGTTTCAAAGTACCGAAACGGCTTTCTCATTAATGCAAATAACTTCGATTCTGTCCACCTGTGATTTTGTATTCATCGTCTTTCTGAAGGTGTCCTGAAACTCGTTTGATCGATAACTCCTCTCACCGAACCCATTTTACTTCATTTGATGATACTGAGATCTTTTCCATAAACAATAATTCTGGTGTTTTTAAGGATATTAATCACTCTCCATTCTTCTTGCCTACGTTCATACTGAACCGCCCCGTTCTCGTAAACTTGATTGCTTGTGTGTTTACTGATGAGTTCATGTTTGCTGGTTGCCCGTCCCTTGATCCAAACGGTTTCCACTTTCCCTCCTAAGACGGCTTTCGTGAACCTCGTGTTTCGTCCCTGTCCCACTTTTTCTCGCACTTGATATCAGCAAAGATGTCGATGCTCCCTTTAGTCTCAAAGCCGCCCCCTCCCATTAATGTTCTTTGTTAAATGATCGCTCCGATCCTGTTGTCGAAAGTCAGAGCATTCTCAAATCTGACTCTGTTAAATAGCTCGGTGTTACTCACATCCACAAACTCCTCTTTCTGACTACTCACGTTGAAGACAGTTTTACAACAGCCCGAATATATTTTAATGCATAAGGCTTAGAGAAATAGCCGCTCTCCAGATCTCCAATTCTTGATCACTGGTATTCTTCTACACCGGCTATACTGCTCTCTAGAATATTTGTGGTGATCGTGTAACGAGCACACAAGCACCACGATGCAGCTTCCAGGTAGCCAATCAGGAAACAGATTTCGCAACCAATCATGTAGGCCCGAGCAGCATCTATCGGATTGGCTGAATGCAAGAATGCAACCATATGAGCAATATCGTTGTCGATTGAAATGTGAAGAATCGACCAATAAAGGTTTGATGCTTGTGATATTTATTTGCATGCTAATCCAAAATAATCGACTGTATCCATGACTCGTTCTGATTCTAACTGTCTGTGCTGTTCAGTAGGTTTTCAGTCCGAATCCGAGTTCGCGCTATTCATTTTCGATTTCTATTCTGAATATNATTGATGGAACCTTTTTGGTTGGGTTTTTCCGTTGCCAAGCCTTTTACTGCCTGTGATAGAGTTATTGAGAGGACAAATGGTGATGAAGAGCACCGTGTACATTACGAAATCATGAAAGCGGTGTCGGGTCCCCGAATGCACTCCGCGTTCCAACTCCGAGCTGCATGTAGATCATCGCAAAGAATCATTGACATTCCGTACAGTGACTGTCTCTCAGACACCTGCATTGAAATAAACCTTTCAAGTCAAGAAAAGCTAGCATTTTTCCTGTGTAAAGAGGCATAATATAGTTATATTTTTTGGTCGCTATATATATATATATATATATATATATACATATACATATATCCACCGCATAAACTCGTAACCTACTATTTTCAACGTGGCCCAACATGTGATTTTTTTCTGAAAGATACGTATTCTGAGGGTTCCGTCCATAGAAAGCTTCATTTTCAGGTTTGGCTTGAACTGAATCCTTTTTCATTTGCACTATACTTAAGTTCACGAAACCAAATTATCTGCTGATATTCCGTAGTAGCATTCATTTTGATGAACACTTACAAAATTGCCTTGTCTGTGCTTGTGAAGTGAACACAGTAAGTGAGTAAATTCCTTTATTACTACTACTTAAGTTTTCACTTCATGGAACGCAGGGTAACGCCGTGAGTACCGGGGCTGGGGGGGGGNAGGCATCCAGTACAATCAGGGTGCGGTCAGGTAGGACAGTCCAGCAGGCAAGGAAGCGGTCAGTGCAGCCAGTTCTTTATCCTAATGCCCATGAAATTTTATGTTTCGGTCTGGGCTCGAACCAAGAAACTTTGGATGGGGATCCGGAATAAACATTGGTGTAGAGCGTGTCTGCCATGATACACGCAGTGGTTAGCTCTGAAAGTTGAAATCATTGTTTGGCCAGGCCTTGTTTGTCTCACACACTTTTCCCCACTCCCCCTTAATGTGGTGCGAAGTTTGGATCATTTACCTATGGACACAGTACGATCACATTGCTTATTCGCATTTAACTCACGGCTGCTTGAGATTAGTGGTGCGGGATAATTGATATGGAATTCGGGATGGGGCGTGAAGGTGAAGTCGGAAGGACGGTCGATCACGTTGATGTTTACAATCTGGTCACCTGCGAGCGATCAAAACGCTAACTAACCTAGACTGATAAGACAATCCAAGTGCAAAATTCGATGAATATTCCTTCATCCAAATGGGAACTCATTAGACAGCAAACAAGACTCCCTACAGAAACATTGACCCATTACACAGAGTACTAATTCATATTGGATTTTAATTTGAAACCAAATGTAGGCAAAGAAATATCTTAAAACTTACTGCCAGTAGAACGGTCAAAGTTTAGGGATGGATTGAAACGTTCCAACCGTGAGGATAACCGCAGATACGGCAGTTGATTAAGTCGATCATCGTTTGACGCCTAATAACCTTGGTATGATCGATATGATAACCGATCACTTTCCCCATCCATATACCCTCACGGGCTTTCTCTCTCTCACACACACAAACACGTCCAAACACACACACACACACGAGTTTCGCCGTCACACGATCCGTCTCGTTTGACTGTGGTTTGACCCTTGTGATTAAGTTCATATCGTGTTTGTACATTAGCGTTTACCCCGTTTGCCCCGTTTTCTACCCCTCGCCCTGCTCTGAATGGACAGTCCGCGTAGCAGTCAGTATCGTGTCTTCCCTTATTACTTGATATTGTCCTTCGGCCCGCTTGGTCCTCGGAGGTTTTGTTCGCTCGTTTGGTCCTGGCGGTTTTTATGCAATGCGAACCTAATTTGCAGCTAGGTGAGTGGAATTGAGACGAACGAGTCTCGAAAGAGTCGTTGCGATGATTCTGTATCGGATGTTGTGGGTTGGTTGTGGGTCTAATCCCAGCCAACTCAACGCTAGGGCCGATTTTCAGCATTTTATAATGAGTGGTATATGTATGATTGGACAAAATTCCTCAGGAGCACAAGGACTGGTTCCGCGGTCCTTGCCGCTCGTCAGGTATCCGATAGTCTTCTGTCTGGTAATTCTTATACTTGAACTCTCGATATCAATTGTTTGGTGCAAACCTAATCTGCAGAGGACTACCGGATGCGCATACCTGATGAGCGGCAAGGACCGCGAAACCGGTCGTGTGCTTCTGCGGAATTCTGTCCAGTCATTTATGTACTACTCATCATAAAAAACTTAGTGGCTTTTGCCTGTTTCGATCGATTGACTGTCGACCCCATCTAGTTTGTGCCTCTGATCGCAGTGTTGTGATATTTTCCAGTAGTAGTACCGCACGCATTGTACGCCAGTATAAATCGTACCTAGAACGAGTCCGTCTTCTGGCTTTGCATGTTACTCAACCTTGGCTTACACACTGGACGTATCCAACATTTATGATGCTCCCCAATAGTATAACTTCATAATACTGAAAGTAAGAAGGACAGGGTGATTTGATAGGCTATGGCCTGCTGATGAAACTACTTCTTTTTGCGTCATACAGAGCGATTGATCCATCGTTTCACATCGTTTTGTCCTTCTCATCCGTGACTTCCGGCAATCTAATTCCTTCTGACCTTCTAGGTAATCTGCTTGGATCATTTTCCACGACTTGCGCAACTAGGAATCCCTTAACCTGACACGAGACTGTCTGACCACCGACTCGTAATATTTGTGATAATCTTGTTGTCACCTGTCATCCAGCCGCATGATGATGGCACTCCCGCTGACAAGCGCTGCATAAACATTTTCCATTCGGAATCTACCGGATGAGGCAACGCTCCATAACTGATTCTCCTGCGGTGACTTTCTACCAACGCTTAAGCGGCATAATATTCATAACCTCTACTCTTGTGCGGGTCCGACAATCACACGATTGATCGGCTTCATTCATCGATCGATATGACAGTTCAGCTGTAACAGGAGATGCGATGCTTACACGAACAAGAACCCACACCTTGACCACAACTGCGAGTCTTTAGCATACCCAGTGAACTTCGACTGCACACTTCACGAGTGCCATCATCACGTGTCTGGACTACAGGTGATATGCTAGCAGCCATGCATTCAGTTCTCTTACAACATTACTTTACCCTTCAATCACTTTCATTTCCAAGGTACCCATTCCTCTTCCACATCCCAGTTTCTTAGGACTCGTAATCTTCCATCCTCTCAGTTCTTTCCATTTATGGGTCCCCTGTGCGGGAGGGATGTAAGCTGTTGCCTTGCCCCTGAAACTATTTCTGATATCGTTCAGTTACCCATGGACCCGTCAGCAGTGTAATCCCGTTGCAGGTCTAACCTTGGAAACACTTGGAACACAAACGACTGTCGAAGTACCGTGTCGCCCACCTCGAGCTCAGCTGGTGCAAGAAACTGTCCTGTCCTATCCTGTCCTGACAACAAGATTATCACAAATATTACGAGTCGGTGATCAGACAGTCTCGTGTCAGGTTGAGGGATTCCTAGTTGCGTAAATCGTGGAAAATGATCCAATCAAATCACTCAGAGGGTCAGAGGGAATTAAATTGTTTTGGGTCACGGGTGACAGGGAAAAGGCGATGTGAAACGATAAAGCAATCGCACTGTATTTTTCGTACAAAGCGCCAAAAAGCTAGGTAGTAGCTTCAGACGTCGTCCAAACACCACCATCACCACTGATTTATCATCAGATGTGAGTGTGAAATTCGGCATTTTGAGTTATAAACGAGTTACGTAACTTTATCAAAGCTGCTGTTCCTCTCTCAGCGATCACGTTTGTTTGCTAGATCACACGGGCTCAGAGGAATGTGAAAAATCTGACAAAAAAGTAACTTACGCATTCCGATCGGGCACTCTGTATTCATTGTGAACACACAATAGTCTCCGGCCGGCCATTCTTTTGATTTCGTCTGATTATCCGTGGACGTATTATGCAAACAAAACTCCATGGAAGTAACTGCGCTAACTTTGAACGTTTTCGTCGCATTATCCACCGGGTCAGGCAGAGTGCGTTCCTCAAATGTTTTACTCACAAATGTCAACCGGACTCGTTCGAAAGTGTCCGGGCATTTGTATCGACCGGGTTGAAGCCCTTTGCTATCTGAATCGATGAACGGATGACCAACTAGGTCATCCGGGCGAATAGATTCCGCGTACTCTACCGTGCGGATAATGCTTGTTTTCAATCCACTACGTCGGCCGATGGGCAGCAGATACTCACCGGGCGGCCAGGACAGTTCCGCACCGAACCACGATTCGGGTACATAGTGACAAAGAATGTCCCACTGGGGATCGTTTTTAATGTCCGTACGTAAGAGCAAACGAACCAGATAACGCTCTACCTGAAGATTGTCAAAGAGGTTGGCGGGCGGGGGGAGAAAACGGAATTTTATACTACTGACTTCAACCAAAGGAACAGTTGGAATATATATATATATATATATTACGTATTACTCCTATTAGCATTCGGTTGAGTTGATGTCCACGAAAGCTTGTTGATTTGCGTAAGTAAGGTGATGCAGACAGGTGCCTTAAGAGAGCAGCATGGCGACAATCCAATGACCTGAAGTTCAATTCGAATCGTAAACCAGCCCCGCAACCACTCCACTTAGCAGTGTGATCTGACGGAGATATCAGAGTGGTAGATGTGGTGATAATGGACGCTGCGGTGAAGGCTAGGGTGAATTCTTACTTACAAGGACCGGAAGGAAGGAAGCAGCGGGGAAGAGGAAGTAAAGCAGAATAGAGAAAGCAAAGTGATAGAAAATTGAAAGCAAGGCGTACAACATCAAACAATGATGTTCACCAAACGAAATATGATGAGTGTATTTGAATGGCGATATTCAATCGATAGGGATCACAGGTCACAGTTTCTCGGTATCGAACGGCGAGTCTGGGTCGACGTAGCAATAGGCTCAGTTATTCCAAAACAGGTGGCATGATGATTGAGAGATATGCATGATATGGAGAAGACAAAAAGTGATTACACCTTTTCTCAGCAATCTTTAACCAAATCCCGAAATTATTTAGTCTCGAGCCGAAACCCATAATGCTTGGGCCAAGACTCACAATCTCTCAGCCTTGACCCACGTTCCTTGGGCCAAAACTCGCAATGTTTTAACCACGACCCGTAGTTTTTTTGTCTCGACGCACAAACTTTAGTACTCACTGTGGGTGAGTCAGATAAAAAAAGTATCGGCACATTCTGAGGTCAAGGAATGTAGAAACATTTTATTTTCTACGACTATTGATGTTACAAAGGTTGACTAAGAAATGAGGTGTGGCACGGGATAGATAACTAAAGAATGAATATCCAGGTGGCATGAGGAGTGACATGCACATGGTATAGGGTAGACAAACAACGGTTACAGAGAGGGTGGATCGGGATGCTGGAGAAAGTGATTTAAAAGGAGTCGACTCAGAAGGAGGAAGGTCCGAGAATCAATGGGTTTGACGGGTGAGAACATAGTGCGAAAGGTTTGGAGTTATTACCTTCCAAGGCGGTCTGAAACGCCTTTGGATGAGCACATAAAAGCAGTTTATGTTTTCAACAATTACACCAGAGCTCGTTGATTTTGTTCTCTTTTCGCACAGACAACGAATGCGTTTCCTTAGGTATTTACTATAGTTGCGGCCTCATGAGTGGCGCGCATACGATGAGTTGAGTTGGACTTTCGTTGAACTGTTCCTGGCATCTACTCCGATGACTTAATTGTGTGTGTGAGGGAGAGAGAGACAATTCAAAAAATAGTGCGCGCGCGAATAGCATCATCCTGTGTGACGGCGAACACGAAACTCACCCTCGTATTAGCTATGGGCAAACACTTTTCGCCGCCGAACAGGAAGAAATCACCTGAGAATGGCCAATTCATCGGAGTTGGATCTTTCACATGGTCATTACGGCAACACATCTCGGCGATTGAACGAGAATGACGATGCAGACCTGAAAGGGCAATCAGAGAGATCAGTACATGAATCTTGATCTGTTTATTGTGGGATAAACTTTGGACCCGAGAAAATCTCAGTTTAGAGGTTATGTGGTATTTCTCTTCTTCTGATAGCTCTTTTGTGTTGTGTGGCCTAACGCATTTGCTGAATAACTCTTGTATACATTACTATCATCGAATGCGCAGTATCGATGCCCGATGTACACACAAGCACCCAATCGCACATCCGGATATACAACCATACAGGCACATGACACGGACGTTCCTCACATGGGAACTTGATTACATTGACCAATCAGATTGCACCACGTGTCTGTTTGGTTGGCTAACTGCTAGTGATCTGTACGATCGGTACCGGCTGATGACATGCTTTTATTGTTTATGTTGATTACGATGCTTCTAGTCTGCACCTAATTAAAGGATTTACTTTCGTGTATATTACGAGTTTTAGTGAATACACCATTCTGCATTCTGGATAAGGAGACTGTGCTGGTCCTTTTAATTTAGTTGTTGGACCGCACCGATACACCGTTTTACAAACCTCATCAAATGTAACTGAACGGGTAATTCCTTTATCCATTCGAAACAACCACAACAAACTCAATAACCGAGAGATCACATGAGAGCAGTGGAGGATTTCATTCGATTATATAATGAACATTGTCACTCAAGCAGAAGAAGGGCCCGTAACAATGTGCTGTATTATATCGTACATAGACAAAATGTAAAACGGCCTGATCAGCTGCTTGATGGCCGAGTGGTGGCTTACGTTAAACCCGTGATGAGGGCCTGAGTTCTCAATCCTCGATTTGATCGATGGATTCGCACACT